TCCCCCACCCACCCCTGCTTGACGTCCGACTACATGCTAACCTCCCCCTCACTCGGCGTCTGGCCGTGCACTACCCCTCCCCCAGTGTTTGGCTGCATGCTAACCACCCCCCTGCTTGGTATCCAGCCACACGCACGCTCCCCACTTCCCTGGCGTTCAGCCGCTCCTCCCCCGCCACTCAGTGTCCCGCTGCCGGGGGGGTACTTAGACTAAAAAAGGTTAAAAACCCTTGATGTAAGGTAATGAGGACCTTCAACAACATGCTCTCAGCTTTCCATAGAAGGTGCTCAGCACCTTTCAGAACTGGACTTTTCATAATGTTACAAGGAAACAGAATGTGGTGGTATGAACCAGTGCAACAACTGTAGCAGTATCAAAGGATATGGCTAGAACCTGACAGGATGTAAATGTTACGTATGCATGACAGTGATGTAAGTGTAGTAAAACTGTTCCATCTTTAACTTTGCTTCATTCAGAATCCAAATTATGGTAATTTAGCTCATTTTTATCACTACAAGATCATGCAGATGCAAGAATCACAGCCTAACAGCTTCCCCGCAGTCCTGAGCAGCAGCTCTCCTTTCCTTTTTAAAGTCACTAAAATGTGCATTTGTCCATACCCCTGGTAGTTCCCAAAGAACATTTTAATCTTTTCATGTCCTTGTGACAAAGTATTTAGCAGAATTCGCAGATTCATTGGAATCTGACAGGGCTGCACTCTGAGTGCTTCTACTATGGCCTCAAACTTGCATTATCTGAACTGTCAATCATGTGCCTTAGCACCCACACCATCCCAGCCCCAACATTTTCATTAAATAGGCCAAAAGTCACCACTAGTCTCAGTTGAACTAATCTGGTATTCAAAGAACTTGAAACAAGACTGATGCTGCCATCTAGTGTCCACAGCTTACCAGCGCTAGATTTGTTCAAAATTTACATTTCCTAATAATATTATACAAAACAATGGCACTAATAAAATCATAATATTTCTATGAAGTCCTCTTGTTCCAGGCTGAGAGGACTTATTATAAGTTAACTATAAATAGTAAAGAATAACCAAAACACATTAATAAAAAACAGGAGAACTGATTTCATGACAATAAATTATCAGGGGGAAGCTACCAAGGATGAGTATATCTACTTGGCTCGCACTTGCAGGGAGGCAGTTAGAAAGGCCAAAGCAACTACAGAGTTGAGGCTGGCAACACAAATTTAAGACAACAAGAAGTCTTTTTTTAGGTATGTAGGGAGTAAAAGGAAGACGCAGGGCAGCAAAGGACCCCTACTGAACAAGGAGCAATCAGTGACAGACAGCAGGGACAAGGCTGAGCTCTTCGATGAGTTTTTTGAGGGGTCAAGATAAGTCTCCTAATGGGTTCTTAGATGGGCATCAAAGGGACACCAGCCTACCAACTGTCAACGCTGACTTGGTGCAGAGTCACTTGGATGCCTGGATGTGTTCAAGTCAGCAGGCCTGGATGAGCTGCATCCGAGAGTACTGAAGGAATTGGCTGGTGTCATAGCAGAACCACTGGTGTGGCTGTTTGAGCACTCATGGTGCTCAGGTCAGGTCCTGGAGGACTGGAAAAGGGCAAATGTGGTCCTTACTTTCAAGAAGGGGAGGAAGGAGGATCTGAGTAATTATAGGCCAGTCAGTCTCACCTCCATCCTTGGAAAGGTCTTTGAAAAGATTCTGAAGGATCATATTTGTGGTAGTCCAGCGGGAAAAA